AAGTAGTCCATCCATGCATCCATTTTCTAAATCGCTTAGTCCCAAACGGGGTCACGGGGGGCTGGAGCCAATCCCAGCCAGCTGCAGGCGAAAGGCGGGGTACACCCTGGACAGGTCGCCAGCCCATCGCATGGCTAACACACAGACAAACAACCACTCACACACACAAGCACTCCTACGGGCAATTTAGAGACACCAATCAACCTATGCTGCATACTGTATCTTTGGACTGTGGGAGGAAGCCGGAGCACCCGGAGAGAACCCACACAAGCATGGGGAGAACATGCAAAGTCCGCACAGAAAGGCCCCAGGTTGGCCGGGGCTGGAACCCAGAACTTGCTCGCTGTGAGGCAACAGCGCTAACCACCGTGCTGCCGAGCAAAGTAGTCTAAATTTAAAATGTTGCAAGGATGTACTGGTTGAACATAATGTTCTCTCTGTGTGTTTAACCAAGTATGTTATGTTTTGGTTGTTTTTACAAGCAGAAAATTGATCATCTGAATTCTGAAACTTGCCTTCCTCTCTGTTTCTGTCTGTAGGTCGTGCCTGCGAGTGCTAGACGTCAACCCAGACACATTCAGACTTCGTGACCCTTCAACCAGCAGATAAGATGGAGGCGCTGCAGCGGGATTTGAGATACCTTACGAGAGGCTTTTGTTTTTTATTTAGGGAGATCAACAGGAAGTAGTCTGTGTAGCTGCTGTGAGTTGCGATGCTTTCTGCCTTATGACTGAACTACTGACCTGCCTGCAGCCTACACCTCCACACAAATACACATACGGTTGTTCACAAAATTTTTGTCACTTTTATTTGAAGATGACATCATACAGCGGTAATACAAACCTATAACCAAAAATACCTTGTGTCTATATATTGTTGGTGTCAGTGTCTACTTTTCTTGTCTGTACTGTATGGCTTTCATGTCAGACATATGAAATCCACATAGTCGTGAGTGATAGAGTGCTGTTCATAATTCATGATAATCTGTTAACTCTCATGTTTTGCTTTATGGAGAAGTGTAGTGGATTGTGCTGTTCAGAGATACAGAGCAAGTTTGTCATGTTTCTATAAAAGAACTGTTAAACCAACTATGAGCTGTTGTGTCTGTGTATCTCTGTGTGTGCACACTCCCACGCCTGGTACTACTCATATTTTGAGGACTGAATCCTGTTTACACACACATGGTCAGATGCTGGTCTCCACATTGTAATCATATAGGTTTAGGGTGATGTTTAGGTTTAAGGGTTACACTTAAGGTTAAATCAAGTCCAGGAAATGAATGTACAGTGGGTACGGAAAGTATTCAGACCCCCTTAAATTTTTCACTCTGTTATATTGCAGCCATATGCTAAAATCATTTAAGTTCATTTTTTTTCCTCATTAATGTACACACAGCACCCCATATTGACAGAAAAACACAGAATTTTTGACATTTTTGCAGATTTATTAAAAAAGAAAAACTGAAATATCACATGGTCATAAGTATTCAGACCCTTTGCTGTGACACTCATATATTTAACTTAGGTGCTGTCCATTTCTTCTGATCATCCCAGAGATGGTTCTACACCTTCATTTGAGTCCAGCGGTGTTTGATTATACTGATTGGACGTGATTAGGAAAAGCCACACACCTGTCTATATAAGACCCTACAGCTCACACTGCATGTCAGAGCAAATGAGAATCATGAAGTCAAAGGAACTGCCTGAAGAGCTCAGAGACACAATTGTGGCAAGGCACAGATCTGGCCAAGGTTACAAAAAAAATGTCTGCTGCACTTAAGGTTCCTAAGAGCACAGTGGCCTCCATAATCCTTAAATGGAAGACGTTTGGGACGACCAGAACCCTTCCTAGAGCTGGCCGTCCGGCCAAACTGAGCTATCGGGGGAGAAGAGCCTTGGTGAGAGAGGTACAGAAGAACCCAAAGATGACTGTGGCTGAACTCCAGAGATGCAGTCGGGAGATGGGAGAAAGTTGGAAAAAGTCACCCATCACTGCAGCCCTCCACCAGGCGGGGCTTTAGGGCAGAGTGGCCCGACGGAAGCCTCTCCTCAGTGCAAGACACATGAAAGCCTGCATGGAGTGTGCTAAAAAACACCTGAAGGACTCCAAGATGGTGAGAAATAAGATTCTCTGGTCTGATGAGACCAAGATAGAACTTTTTGGCCTTAATTCTAAGCGGTATGTGTGGAGAAAACCAGGCACTGCTCATCACCTGTCCAATACAGTCCCAACAGTGAAGCATGGTGGTGGCAGCATCATGCTATGGGGGTGTTTTTCAGCTGCAGGGACAGGACGACTGGTTGCAATCGAGGGAAGGATGAATGCGGCCAAGTACAGGGATATCCTGGACGAAAACCTTCTCCAGAGTGCTCAGGACCTCAGACTGGGCCAAAGGTTCACCTTCCAACAAGACAATGACCCTAAGCACACAGCTAAAATAACGAAGGAGTGGCTTCACAACAACTCCGTGACTGTTCTTGAATGGCCCAGCCAGAGCCCTGACTTAAACCCAATTGAGCATCTCTGGAGAGACCTGAAAATGGCTGTCCACCAACGTTTACCATCCAACCTGACAGAACTGGAGAGGATCTGCAAGGAGGAATGGCAGAGGATCCCCAAATGCAGGTGTGAAAAACTTGTTGCATCATTCCCAAAAAGACTCATGGCTGTATTAGCTCAAAAGGGTGCTTCTACTAAATACTGAGCAAAGGGTCTGAATACTTATGACCATGTGATATTTCAGTTTTTCTTTTTTAATAAATCTGCAAAAATGTCAAAAATTCTGTGTTTTTCTGTCAATATGGGGTGCTGTGTGTACATTAATGAGGAAAAAAATGAACTTAAATGATTTTAGCATATGGCTGCAATATAACAAAGAGTGAAAAATTTAAGGGGGTCTGAATACTTTCCGTACCCACTGTACATCTATGTAAAGTCCCCACGAGGAATGAAAAAAAATGCATGCTCAGAGTGGGGAGGGGTCATGAGATCTACTGAAATTTTTATTGAATGCTAACAGCAACAATGGTCGTAGCTTTAAGATGTTGTGAATTACTTCAAATACTATTCAATATAAAGTTGTGTTTTTAGACTTAGCTTTTCCAAACCATATGCAGTCAGTGAGTTAAAACTAACCACAGTAAGCCTCCATCTAGCCACTTTTCAAGTGGATGAAATGGTATTATTGAGCATTGGTTGAACATTCAATCAAAAAAGTTCTTTTTAGAATGAAGCAGTTTTGGCTACTGTGTGCCTAATAAAATGCCAGTGTATGTATGCCATTATACACCTAATACATTTAACTTGTCAAAACAGCAACTGCACAGGTATAATTATGATTAAAGCAGGTTACATCTGTGCTTTGTCTGCTATGGCACATTTCAGTGTCATGAGAGCACTTCTTGTTTGAGAAAGGTTCTGGTTCCACCTAGTGGACACTGTCATACGTTTCTATTCTATTTCATACTCATTGTCCTCCAACCTTGTGCATTCTTTATGTTTCTCCTCATACTGTACATGTATTATAGATAGAGAGAGAGGGAAAAGAGCAATACTGGATTTCATGTACTGCTTAATGTTAATCTAATGGATCGTATATAGTCATTGTAAACCACCATAACAGACCCAAGATGTTATTAATTTGTAGGCGTTTACCAGTGTTGTGAGAGGACCACCTCACTCGGGCCCTCCGTCTTCATTTATTTAATTAAAGAAAAGATTTGAAGAACCCAGTGAAGCAGTTTCGAGGACTGTGGTATACTCACCACACCAAAAATAAAAGGTCTTTGAACTACAACTTAAACCACTGTGCCCATAATCCCTGCCTGCTCCCAAAGTCAAGTAATAAAAATGGAGAGCTCAGCTGTGTCAGACATAATGCTGAGGTCTAAAAGAACAATAAGCAAGAGCAGCTGTGTGCTAGACTAAGGATGAAGAGCTTTTGTTTGTATTCCTTTTATTTTAATGTTCTCCAGTGTTTAATGATGTTTTTAAGGGATGCCTTGACATTTAGTTGGTTGTTTAGTTCAAACAGTTTATCCTTACAACACATTTCATGACAAACTACTGTACACACACCCCTGTATGGGAATTGTTTTGGAATAGTACAAACCTAGTGTGGAGTAAACATACTTTAGGTACAATGCAAGTGTGTGCCATTATTCAGAGTCCTGTAAAAGCCAAGTGACTTAACCAGCCACAAGAAAACCAGCCCTGTCTTTGGGTGGGTAGGTAGACAGACAGACAGACAGACAGATAGATAGATAGATAGATAGATAGATAGATAGATAGATATCCAGTAGCAATAATGACCAAATTCACAGCACAGCAAAATAAAGAAATGTATAAAAGTATAAAATTAAAATACAAAAAAGTATAAGTTTAAATATTGTGGAACGATAAGTGTATACTTATGAGTATATGAGTGACCTTTGACTTTTTGCCTTTAATGGTAGATAAATACATTTTCAGACTCTTCTGTAAGTAATACAACAACTTTAGTACAATATATGCACCAGTTTTCACTTCATTGAGTCATTTAAACAAAATTGAATTCATGAAAATCAACCGATATTCTAGGTGGTGCTTTGAATTTGACCACAGGTTCCCGACGTCACTAATGTGACCACGCCTCCGCACTGGGACTCACCTCATAGCTGCAAAGTGCAACAACCAGAAGTCATAAGACTGCTGTGGAAATCAGCAAAATCCGGAACCCAGCGGCGAAAAGGGAGATTTCGTTTATCTTGTGAAAGGAAAACCAAACCAACCGCTATGGACCCCAGCAAGTCTTCGAACTCCTCTGCACCAGAATGGGCTGATGAGAAGTCCTCCATCAGCCGGGCAGCCCCTCCACCCTATGAACCCAACCTTGTAGGATACCCGCAGTCTGTCCAGGGATACCCACAGTCTGTCCAGGGATACCCACCACAGCCACAGGTAAGCATCTCAATATCTAAACATGATGGGAAGCCATTGTCGACACATCCATCCATCCATCCATTTTCTTCCGCTTATCCGGGACCGGGTCGCGGGGGCAGCAGTCTAAGCAAAGATGCCCAGGCGCCCAGGAGGCATCCGAAACAGATGCCCGAGCCACCTCAGCTGGCTCCTCTCGATGTGGAGGAGCAGCGGTTCTACTCTGAGCTCCTCCCGGGTGACCGAGCTCCTCACCCCATCTCTAAGGGTGCGCTCAGCCACCCTGCGGAGAAAGCTCATTTCGGCCGCCTGTATCCGGGATCTTGCCCTTTCGGTCATGACCCAAAGTTCATGACCATAGGTGAGAGTCAGAACGTAGATTGACCAGTAAATCGAGAGCTTCGCCTTACAGCTCAGCTCCTTCTTCACCACGACGAACCGGTACATCGACCGCATTACTGCAGAAGCTGCACCGATCCGCCTGTCACTCTCCCGTTCCATTGTCGACACAGTTTAATGCAAATTTATTTGAAAGAGTTCCCTTAATCTGTTTTAGTAAGTAGGATTTTAAAAAAGCTTAAATTAATTTGGGCTATTTAGGCCTGTAACAGTACTAGTTGTGGGTAGCCTAATTTTATTTTTCTTTTCTTATCATGGTTTTTAATGAAGTTCACGGTAACATCGTCTCTCATGGGTTTTTTGGAAATTCCCTATTTTCACCCTGCTGTGAATAAATAAATCTGTTAAACTATTAATTAGACGAATGAACTTCGTTTAGGCTATGTCAAGATAACATTAAATAAAACTCAGTAAATCATTATCACAGTTAAGCTTTTATAAATAGCCTATGAATGTGGGATCTATATCCAAGTTGAATTAACATCATGTGATCATCTTTTTCCCCACTGTTTATCATAAAATCATTAGTAATTGCTGTAACAGAGACCCAATGGCCTCCTTGATAGTGTTTTGTGGTCAATAAGAAAAACAAAGATGTACTTTGTACTTTTGTGTTAGAAAAATTTCCACTTCCTTGGTCCTTTGGTACCGCCCTGATACAGTATGTTTCACATCCTCACATAAATCACAAGCATATCTTGTGTTTGCCAATTTCAGATGAGATTATTTCATCATGAGGCCACATTTTTATTTAGTTTTGTCTGTTGTGAACCCTCCCAATTTACTGTACTCCACCACCATACTTTTGGCATCCACTTAGTTTAACTTAACTTTTTACACACCTGCTTCATTTTACCTGAAAATAAGTGTGAATTATATTTAATGTTTGTGGCCTGCAGGGCTATGCACCTCAGTACGGGGGATTTGGACAACCACAATACCCCACAGATCAGCAGTACCCAGGACAGCCAGGCACTGTCACCATCCAGCCCACAGTGTACGTGACTCAGGACCCACTGGCTAACCCTGTCAATGACTATCTGTGCTACTCCATCTTCACCACGCTGTGCTGCTGCCTGCCACTTGGAATTGCTGCCCTCATCTATTCCATCTTAGTGAGTTTGATTCACTCGTATATTCCTCATAAACTTTCTCATAGCCACAGATACACAGAATAAAAATTTCCACAAACCCAGATTCATTATACAGAGTCAATCTTACAGCTCAGCAGTTGTTGGACTCAACCAGTCCTGCGTGTTCTTTTATGAAGAATGCTCAAAGATAAATCTGTCCTTTAAGATATTTATTACAATATTCAAGAAAAGCTTCTAAACAGCAAAACCGTTCAACTTGCCTTTGGAACAAGAGGAACGCCTATCTCCTGGACCCAGTCAATTTATACAGTTTTGAATGTACAAAACGTGGGTAGATCTGATGTCATCCATGTTGTCCTTCATCCTCGTTCCTTGGTTGGTTTGTTGACCTCTTTCTGACCCCTCATTTGGTGATCTTGTCACCAGGCAGATTTTGATCTGTGAAATTCTAAGAACAACATCCTGACCTTTGTTGGGTAAAATTATTAACAAAGTTATACTCTAGGATTGGTTCTACCATTTGATTGAACTAAGTACTTATTTAGTAGAAGATTGACACCATGACTGGAGAGGACGGACGGACCGAAGGACCAATGGGACAGCACGAAAGGCACCAGATCAACCCACATTGCACAATTATATAAGAACTTGGGTTTCCAGGAGGGTAGGCTTTCCCTCTCGTCCTGAAGATGAGTTGAACGGTTTTGCTGTTTAGGTTCAGGGCTTCAGATAAAGACAGAACCCAGAGCTCTGTAATTGCTTTTCTTTCACATTGTAATAAATATTTTAAAGGTTGTTCTGACTTCGACTCTTCCTCAGAAACGAACATGCAGGACGGTTAAGTCCAACACCTTTCAATGCCCTAAGCACATAGGCAGTTTTAGGGACAACACCTCTTGCTCATGTCTCATCTACCCTTGTGTGACAGGCAGTGTTGCCTGCAAACTTGGCCTTGTTTCTGTTTGTGGTTTCCAAGTCTTATACCTCCAACCTACACATGCTCCGTTGTTATCATATGAATATCATAAAGCATATGATACTGAAATAAACATGTAGGTATATTTGCTTATGCAGATTACAATATTGATTATAGAAGGCTAAGCATTTCCTATACTAAATAAATGTTGATAATATAAAGCCAAAACAATAAGACCTTAAACCCACTCACAGCTCTCGTTGCAGACAATTTAGTCATCTCAGTCTGCATTTGCATGTGCATCCTTCCTGTTGTTCTGAGTCTCTGCACTTTGACAAATACTCACACACAACATTTCTAGTGCACTGGTCAAGTCATTATAAAGGTCTGGCAGATTAAACAATCTTTAAAGCAGTTTTGCATATACATAACATAGCACTATATTATTTTATCCAGAATTTCTTTCTACACCGTGCACATTCAAGAATACATTAAAACTAAAAAAACGACTTCAGCTTAAGAAAGATATGTACATAAAATAACCTCAATCACAAATAAAAATAAGCACCGAATAAAGAGAAACACTCCAAAGGGTGACAGTGAAAAGCTATAAAACATAAAATGAAGAAATGCCCTCCACTTGGTTAAAGAATAACTAGGTGGTGAGAGTCATATGTTCTCTGCCACAGTAGTATTATTGCATTATACCTGCAGACCAGATAATGGGGAAATGGAATATCTTCAATGCTGTTTCCTCTTTCATTCAGTGACTTGTTTATGGTATTTTAGCTTTTTTGTTTTTATTCTGGTTGTATATTTAAAAAAATCACAGCTATCCATTGTGAGACAAAAATATGACAGAGAATGTAGTTTTAATGGGCTACTTGAGTTCTTGGCTTTACTCTGACTCACAGGAATAGTGTAGTGTCAAATTACACTCTTGTTTAGGAAGAACATTTGGTTTGCTGTTTCCATGTGGTGGTGTTATGTTTTTTTCCTTGAAGCTTTAAAGGCAGCATGAAATGGCTTTGGCAAAAAATGTTTTTTTACACAATGTATAGGATAATTCATGTTTAAATATGAATGAGGATATAAATAATACACCGTGTTGCTTAGGCTTTGGCAAGTTGGTCAGAGATTTTCCTGTATATTTGTTTATACACAAAATGGTGTTATACTGTATGTACTTAACCATGTAATAGTCTGCTCCTAAAGTCAGTCTATATTACTGTGCTTAGGCTGTGTGTAGGTCAGGACGTGCACTGGTTACACACAGCGTACTGTTGTATGCCTTCTACAGACTTCCACATTTAGCGGCCAGTATTCATCTTGCTGTTGGAAAGCAACACACAGAGTAGAGTCCCATAGTCTGTACAGTGCATATCAAACCTGCTTGTGACTACATTACTGTTTGCTGTTACAACACAGGCCTCTCCCGCTTTTATGAAACAGACCCAGGTTAATAATACACACCAGTTTGTGGCCAGATATGGTCAGTCATTTGACTGACACCTGTCTGCTATAATAGTGATGAGATGCCGTTTGAGATCCAAAGCTGCAGAGCTGAACAAACAACACCTTGACTCAGGGAATGGGGAGGGGGAAGTTAAACCCTACTCTTTGTGTGCCTACTTATCTCTGATGTACTGTAGAGCATTCACATACATTCACACAAATAACAATTTGGCTCAGTAACAACACAAGTGGATTGAAGACAGTTTTATATGAAAACCTTGCAAGTTATAAATTATTATAAAAAAAAGAAGGTGTTCTTTTTTATGACTGCACAGTTACTTCAACTGGAAACTTCTGAATGATTTGTGTAAATAAATGTAAAAGATATAGGTGACAAATTCAAGAAAAAAACAATATAAAGTGTTTTAATAAGGTGCCACTAGAACAGCATCAGTGCACCTTGGCATTGTCTCTCCAAGTCACTGAACTCTACTGGAAGGATGGACACTTCCAGAAGATATTGCCCCATGTGGTGTTCTGATGATGGTGGTGGGGATGCTGTCTAACATGTAAGTTCAAAACGTCCCATATGTGTTCAACCGGGTTTTTATCACAGGATAAAGGTGATGACTCTGAACAACTTTGTATGGATTTGCAGTGAACCTTCACTCTAAGGGAACAAGTGGACCCAAACCATGGTAGAAAAATGTCCTCCACAACATAACAGTCTCAGGATCCCCACACTGTAAGGATCGGCTGTCTGCGTATTTAGTAAAAAGCTGTGAAACTGGAATCTGCATTGTTTTTGGTTCTGCTCATAGTGGTGCATCTACTGCACAGGAATGAGCAACTGTTCAGAAAACCTGAACCTCAGCACACAGAGAGATTATATAAAATGATGTCAACAAACTTCACTCAGTACATTTATATTAGCCAACTGGTCCAGTGTCAGACCATCCAGCCTCCTTTTGAGGGAGGATGCTTTATACAGTAAGCTTTTTTTTTAACCTACTGGCCAATATAAGTCAATACTTATGGATCTTATGGATGATAAGCCAAGGTGACAGAGACCAATTGCTATGAGCCAAAAGTTGGTTGGCAGATTTTAGCTGCTAGCAGTTCCTGCTTGAACTGTTGCCATGGATGTACCGACAACAGTCACTGGATTACTGTTGAGTTGAGTTGAGAGCTGATTTCAGCAGTGTGTGTATAGGGTCTGTGCTTTTTGGTTTGAGTTATGATTCTGGGAAGCAGAATGTGATTTTATCACCTCGGTGTAAAAGTTTACAATACTTTACCAGACGATTACTGTTCAAATGAATCATCGAATCAGATTTCTAAACACTGATGACTTGCTAACCTGCATGTGATGCTCAAACACACTTCCCGCCATCCACTGCACATAGTGTAGTGTAAAATGCCGAATGCAGAACTAGATAGATACATTGCTTTACCTATATTAGTCAAGGCAGCTGTACTGAGTGTGCCATTTTTCCTCCAAAGAAATAACTACACCATGGTTATCCTGCTCTTAAATTATGTTGACCTCAACATTCTGAGGGACACTCGCGCTGCCGTGAGGCGTGGCAGATCCCCTGTGTGGAAGCAAGAAGACAGTAGGAAGGAGTGGGAGACAGAATGAAGGAGGGATGAAGAAGAAGGAGAGGACAGGAAGAAAGATAAATAGAAAAAGGGGAGGGATGGTGGGATAAGAAAAACAAATGCAGCTAATAGAATTATTCATAGGGAGATGATGGGAAGAGGATGTGATTAGCGCCATGGTTCTGCTCCTGAATCTCTGACATGCATCTTCATTTCTGTCTGCCTGAGGAGAACTGCTAACTGGACAACCACATTGCTACTTCTCTCTCTTTCCTGAATGTAGCATAATGATGCTCCCACACATCTTAGCACACAGTTCTGCTACATACTGTATATCTCTGCAGCTCAGTATGAGGACTTACACGAAACAACTTGATGTTTAACCTTTTGCAGCATAGACCGAGTCATTAATCGCTCATGAAGTCATGGCTGTCGAACAGACCGGACAAGATCAAGCATGATGTTAAAAGTGTCTTCAGCTTTGATTTGAGTTAAGCCTCTTGTATAAACCCAGTATGACTTAGTTTGTTGCTGTATTTAGCTACAATATTGCTACTGTGTCTTGCCTATCTTTCTTTTGTTCCAAAACAGATCAACTCTCATCCTCTTTATCTACTTCAGATCCCATGCTTACATTTTGCAAAGCATTTACAGCATATTATGCAAATATTGTTTCCATCTCTAAACAGTGACTTGCCCAGACAGTCTTTCTCAACTGCCTCTCTGTGATACGTGTAATCAAAAGACCATAAATCCAGATTCCAAATCCAATAAAAGCTGTTTTTTGAACAAGGTGAAGCAAAAGGTCTATCAAGTTCACCCAAATTAACCTAGTGTTTTTGGTCCTCCTTGTATGAAATGATCTGGTTCCAAATGAACGCTTTAAGAACCTCCCATAGAACCCCCCCACTACCACCACTGGGTTATCACTAATGTCCAGTGCAGAAGTAGTGGAGATAACTAGACTGGGTTTGCAGTTGGCAGTCCAGGACAGGGGCAAACAATAAAAAGCTGTTGCTACAAAGCTGTGTACATTCATACAACCTGGTTGTTGTGTGCACAGCTGTAACAGAGTTCAGTTTCCATGATGCATTTACAGACTTCTGACCAGCTGTCAGGAGATAAGACTAGAAGTGTAAAATTGAATCAGTGTCCGCACTGAGGAAACTGGTAGTGACTGTGAGTGCTGACTGGCAGTCAGTGAACCTTTGGGTTACCATATGAATTATCTCTGAAACGTATACACTACCCATCAAAGGTGTGGACACATTCATTTCAGTGGGAAAGTGTGTCCAGACTTTTGACTGGTAGTGTATGTCTGACAATGATAAATCTAATTTTTAACATAACTGGTTAACTAGAATGGATTACTTAATGATAAATGGCATTTATTCTGTGTTTTTGATGGTATTTTGTTCATATCTGATGGGAAGGTCCATGCCATTCAGCCATTTTGGTGCAAATGGTTTGAGGCACGGTAATTGTCACACCTGAAGTTGTAACATTCTAATGTTCCATTACAGATTTGCACTCTGCTTCACTTCACTGTTTTGTAAATATTTTGTTACATAGCTGAACTCTAAGATGACACTTTACTATGAAAAGTTGATCTGCTTATTTTGCTGTATGATGTAGCTGCAAGTTATGTGGTAGCATTGGTGATCTTTGGAAAATGTGTCTATGAATGACTGACCTCAGTGTGCAAACACAAAGGCAACACAAAGACAGCAAGCACTCCCATGCTAAAAAGCCTGGAGACACACCATAACCTTTTTCTTGGAAACATGATCTTTTGATGTGTGTTCCTGGAAAAATCGGAAGCTCTAACTGTATTCCACATACAGGGTTTACAGTGACGTCAACAGAATTTGCTCAACAGTTGAAAATCCCTTTGTCTCAGCGGCACCCTCTCACATTCTCCATTCTGAATGAGCCCACTCTTACTCAAACACAGCCTAAACACAGCTAAAAGGAGAGTGAATAGTAGACTCGAAACACAACTTCTGGGTGTGTAAATATGCAGTTGTTTATATATATTCACATGCTGGACTCACTCCCAGCTGACACTGGGCAAGAGGCCAGGGAAACTCTGAACAGGTTGCCAGTCTATCACAGGGCTGACATATAAAACTGCACTTTTTAAATCTTATTTTACTTACTTATGACATTAAATACTTTTATCACCTTCAGACCCGTGATGCTAACCACAGAGGGGACCAGATTGTGGCAGAAAAGAGCAGCAGGTTGGCCAGGACACTGAACCATGTGGCCCTGGGAATCGGTATCGGATTCATCATCCTCGTTATCGTGTTGACAGTGGTTGTGCCTTCTGTTGCTTTCCACTAAATCTGTTTCATTCTCTATCAAGTAATCAGAGTACATCAAGAACAGGAATACTTTTTATTGAAAATCTGTAACAATTTGTACCTTTGAAAAGTTATTGATAATATTAGCAGTAGATGGCCCTTTATGTGGATCTGGCTGTCAGTTCCAGTTGCTCAATCAGTGGCTTCACTTCACCAGTTGTGAAAGCTGTGGCGAGTTATGTATCACTGTCCTGAGTGTTGTTCATCATGCAATGTCTGTATGATCTTTTCTTAAACAAAGCTGAAAAATGATATATTAAATGTCTTTTTAAATGAATGTATATCAAATGTCTTTATAAATAAAATGTAAATATATTGATGGCAAAAACACTGGTGCTGTCTAGTCAATGATTTCTGTCTAATCAGTGCCAGGGCCTAAAGTTTGTCACAATACAAAATAACCTTCTTCTGCAGAATTTGAGAGACAAGCTTTGGACCGGACAGAGTTGGAAGTTAATTAGCAGTATAAGAAGTGTACTTAATATATAGTCTGTAATGAAGCAAGTATTTCCATATGAACTTTCAAATAATGGTGCCTGAAGTTGTAATCACTTGTAATGGTTTTGCATATATTGCTTTTGTATAGAACTGAAATATTCAGGCGTTAAAAGAGAAAAATGCATTGTTCCAAAAGCAGCTTTTAACTTGGTAGCCAGTTTCTTTTAACCTTACATAGTGTGACAAACTTTCTCCAACTCTTCTTCTTTCATTTTTGTAATTTTAAACCAGCCTTTCTATCATAGCTACAGTTACTCCACTTTCCATTTACTTATCTGACATGTAAGTTGATCACTGACATGGATAGCTTCTGGTTTCGATTGCTTCCTTTGGGTATAACTGGGTGTTCTGTCAGTAGAGAAGTGCTAATAATACTCTCCTAATCTTCTTATAAGGCTGTTGGACGTGTTTATGAAAATTACCATTAAGAAAAAACTTGTAGAGAAGCAGTCGTTTCAGCTGTGCCTGCAATCTCCCAGTGAGATTGTAAGCTAGTAGCTAATTGCAATGAACAAGCTAAAAGGAAAGCTGTAGCTTCCACAGACTGATTTAAGATTAATTTGCATCTTAAATCTCAGCAGATTAATGGACTTTCTGTCTGAGATGCAGCCTGTCCACTCCCTATAACAGTTGTAACTGACTGATTTCTATGTTCCTCGTTCTTCTTAAACTAATATCAAGAACATTGTTTGTTTTATATAGATTCTACATGTTTTCAGGGAGACATACTGCATTTGAGTTGATTTTGTGAATTTACTGGATGGTTTAAACCTGCAGATTAAAAGTAGTTACAATCATCAAATATTGCTGCTAAATAGTACATCATAGCTAAAACATAAATAAAATATAGCCTGGTTCTGATATTTTCAAGATTTTATTCTAGCAATAAAAAGAAAGCATGAGAGGAGCGATAAAGCACTAGACAGATAAAGAGAATCACACCTATAATTAGTTCCTAGCCAAGATCAGTGTACATTTGATAGAGAATTGATTAGATATAATATTATCATGCCCTAACCCCATTTACAAAAGGTGAGGTCTCAGGCCTGCATCTCGCATTTTAAAATTCAGTAAAAATCTCTGGGTTAAGTCAGCTTGCCCTTGCACATTACGCATATTGTATGTATAATGTTACATGTTTACTGTGTAAAAAAAAAAGAGATGCACTATTGTTTTTATTTCCTTAATAAATGTAGATCTAAATTTTCTTTTGTGCCTCCATTAGTGTAAGCACAGTGGCCTGCTTTAGGACAAGAAGTCTGAGCGTGCACAAGTCCCTGCCCCTGATGTGAACAGCTTTACAAAACAAGAAGTTGTGGTTGCACAAATGTAACATGTTTAAAACTGTCCAGATTTACTGGAGTCCATCTGCCATTTGTCACGTAGGTGAGCAAGTGACTTCTAATCACATTGCGCTTTAGTTTTGCAATAATAACTGATACAATATCATGTTGTTTGTACTGTGTACCTTAAGTTAAAGGGAGAAAAATGAAATTAATTTAAAAGAGAAAATTACTACTATTATTACTATTGCTTTAGCAAAAATTCATATTCTTAAAAAATGCAGTACTAAAAGTTACATGATAAATGGCAATTTGTAGCTTCTGAATGTGGCATTTCCCATTAAGCTGTGCTGTATGGCCCTATGTATCACAAGCATGTACCTCCATAATTAACCATAATACATAAAATACGTGCATGGGTTTCTTGCCTTAAACACTTAACACTCCACTGATTCTCTCTAACCAAATGCAGGCCACAAGCATCTATAGGTATGAAGATTTATCAGCATATGTTCTTTATCTGTAAATACACTTACTGGCCACTTTATTAGGTACACCTGTACAATTGTATGGAATTCAATGCAACACTTCCGCCAGTGAGTGTAGATTTGCTGTGGTTAAACTCAGTGTCACTTTACAGTGACTTCTATTAAAAATGTCAACTACTGCTCTGTTACTATATGGTACCTACTTTATTTACTGCTGTTGTAACTAACGTTTCAAATATGGCATTATAGTTTTACAAAATCATCTTGTATCAGAGATGTGAAACAAGTGTGGCATAAATTGAGTAGCCTGTTGTGGCTCTTTTACTTTTCCCAGACATGTGCTAATCAGCAGCATGTCAGCAATCTCTGTTCCTTTTAGTTCCACCCTGGACTTTGCTTTTACAGTTGGGTTCATGTTACTTCAGTGTTTGTTTAGTGATTACTCCTGAGAGGAAGTTCCAGTAAGTCTTTTATAGATGAAATGCTACACCCACTTTATTGCTAGCATTTATTAGAATAGCATCCAACGGTAACACTGCTGTGATAGGATGACACTGCAACGCTGCTGCAGGAGTCCTGGCTCAACAACACGCTTCTGCTGCCTCCCAGTGGACTAACCACCCACTCACCTACCTACCTAACTATGTAAATATAAAAATAACATTTTCAAGTCAAGCCATTTAGAGAACCCAAGTTCTTTTTATAGCACTGAAATAGTTTGAATCAAACTCAATATATTGTTACATATGGGGCTGATTAAAAGTGCTCTTCAACTATGTAGGTGTTCATGTTGTTCTGTCCACCCCCTGCCCATTATCTGAAAATAAACCAAGAGTGTTTGTTTCTATACATTCTACAAATTTAACATATGAAAATATGTAGAAATAGCAAAACCACAAAAAAATTTCAACATTTTTTCAGCCTTTCATCGATTTAGTACAAGAAGCACGGCCTGTGAATTTGTTCAATACTTGAAGTGACAACACAGAAGAACATCCATGTGTTTACATTGTGGTAGAAATGTGGTACATCCCAATTAGTGGGAAACTGCCTGTAAATTCTACATCACTCACAGCTTTGCTTTAATGGAAATGGCTCATTGTTTCCATCCATCCATCCATCCATCCATCCATTTTCTTCCGCTTATCCGGGACCGGGTCATGGGGGCAGCAGTCTAAGCAAAGATGCCCAGACTTCCCTCTCTCCAGACACTTCCTCCAGCTCCTCCGGGGGAATGCTGAGGCGTTCCCAGGCCAGTCGAGAGACATAGTCCCTCCAGCGTGTCCTGGGTCTTCCCCGGGGCCTCCTCCCGGTGGGACATGCCTGGAACACCTTCCTAGGAAGGTGCCCAGGAGGCATCCGAAAGAGATGCCCGAGCCACCTCAGCTGGCTCCTCTCGATGTGGAGGAGCAGCGGTTCTACTCTGAGCTCCTCCCGGGTGACCGAGCTCCTCACCCTATCTCTAAGGGTGCGCCCGGCTTGTTCCCTTCAGGTTGGTGGAGAGTGCCTGCCTCAAGTGGAGGAGCTCATTGTTTCCGTTCTAAATAATTCATGACTACTGAAGGACAAAACAACAGCAACACCAGCTCCAACAGCTGAGCCACCAAAACAGATCCAAGCTGCTGCATTTGTTTATCATTTGTAGTGAAGAGTTAAACATACCTTACACTTGATAAAGTCTAACAGCTGATTATGTACTGAACAGGAGATATGTTGTAACTGAAACCTCAAACATACTGTATGAAGTCTCACAAGCAGTAATACTATCAAAGGCTGAAGAACACTGAGTGAGAAAGGACCTCATACTGTGACGACTACATACAGTATGACTTGGATTATTGTATATTTATGCAATATTTACATAGCTACTTAAAACATCCCCGTGCGGCATGGCAGTGGCATGCGAACTTGAAATTACAATCGCTTCCACTATTTCTTCACTTCAGAAAGCCAAAGGACAGTTGTTTTAAAAGAAACATTTAATGAAGGGCAAGACTAGGAAATGAAAGTGCTGTGTCATCACAAAAGGTTGCTTAAATAAATGTGTCATTCTCTTTATGTTATCCCTAAGCTGGAGGCTGAAGTAGCAGTTGGCCACTTGCACACACACACACACACACACACACACACACAGTATGAGAGGTCATGATATTCTGTTGCAATCTGCCTGCTGCAGATACAATCAAGGCAAAACGCACATAGGGGAGATGAAAAGGAAGATGACAAACGGGTATGAAGCCAGTGAGACAGTATTATATTTGAAGGATAATTCTAGTTTATTTCAAACTATCATATTTCCCCAAAACAGGGCTATTTGTGGTTGGGTGGGTCATGTCTACTTTGCACTCACTACCTCAAGCAGTAAAGGTTTTTCTTCTCAGTTGGGTGTGGAGAGCAGTGGCCATGAGTTCGCCAGTTTCTTTAGATGTGGTGTCTTTCACAGCAGTCTCGCTGACTTTCTCTCTCTGTCTCCATCCTTTGTCTGTCTTCCATTTAATTTAGCTCCTCCTCAGATACCACAGCTAACAGCCAAAGTACAATGACTAACCCTCATAATGGACCACAAGATAATCAGGTGTTGCACTTTGCTTTTACATTTTCCTCAGAAGACAGTATAACTGGAGTGGACATAAGCCTCACACATGCAAACAAACCAGCATGTGTGGATGCATATGCAAAGCCAGCTGGCAAGTTAGCCCAGATCTCTAGAAACGGTTATTCCAGACAGCTACTTCGTAAGTTTACTTGTGTTTGAAATCACATGAAAATTAAGTTGACTTTAGAAAGCTGCAGGAGGCTGGTTGCTGCTGTATACTGTACGCTATTTTGAGGGAGTTCTCATTTCCCTGTATCTCTAGAACAGAGGTGGCGATGCAAAATTTGCATAATTAGAGCCGCACTAGCCACATTTACACACAAAATGCAAGGCTGAAATAAACCACAATTATGTTTGAACTTTTCTAAATGAATACAAATGTGCAATGGATGATTTGCACCAAAATGTCATCTCTGTTACAGATCATGTAGTCTTAAGTAATATTTAAAGAAGCATTCACTAACTGAGTGAGGTGAACATAAGAGGAGGGGTGAGAGGGAGGAGAGGAGATTTTAGTAGGAGCGTATGGCAGGAGGGATGTGGGCGCAGTCCTGCTCATCCAGAGAGGAGTCAATAACGGGGCGATATTTCAGGGTCACCTGTGATTGGACAGAAGCAAAGGTATATTAGATATTACTGACTCTATTATCCTGTAAATTTAAGTACGATTATCAGAGCAGTCTAATAGCCTGATGCCAGCATCAAAGAGCACTGAAAGGGAGTGTACCTTGCCAGTCTTGGGGTCAACATAGGAGAGAGTGTGTTTCCTCCAGTGCTGATCAAAGGGCCTCTTCTCCTGACCCTGTAGAGGCTTAGAGTAGTCGTACTCATCAATACGTTCCTACAATATAGTTCAAAAAAATAAAGTCAGAGGGGAGACTGGCTGTAATCACAAGTGAGACATCAAGAGCTGTTTTATTTATGTAACCATCAAGACATTACAAAAGAATAATAGTCAGTTCAGACAACAACAGGTCAAGAGATAGGAAAAGTCAAAGTAAAAAGCAAACAGTAGGAGAATGATCTAAATTAATCTAAGATAAGCAGAGAACAAAGAAAAGGACAACACTAGCAATGACAAAGAAGAAGCAGAGGAAAAAAGAACAACGGACAAAGTAGTACATAGTGACCTTGTAATCCTCTCTGGCGTGGGCTCCCCTGCTTTCCTTTCTCTGCTCAGCCGAGTGGATGGCCTGGATGGCATTCAGCATCAGATTCTGCAGCTCCAAAGTTTCCACCAGGTCTGTGTTCCACACAATGCCTAGAGAAAAGGAGGAGAAAAAAAGGAAGACGCTCTTTGTATTGTATGACTTACAGTATATCAACAAGTAATACTGTTGCACGTTTGCAGAAAGAAGCTGGAACTGAAAAGAAAAAGACAAAGGGGTGCAGTACCTCTGTCAAAGGTCTTAATATCATCCAGAGTCTGGTAAATAGCATCCACCTTGTCGCACCCCTCCTTCAGAACAGGGCCGGTACGGAACACTGCTGCGTGGGCCTGCATGGTCTGTAGGGAGAGGCAGGAAGAGACATGCCGCATGATTTCTGCTTGGTTATAGGCCATGTTTGTGAGGGACTTGTTAAAGGAAACACAGATCCGCACAGGCCAGTTGATAAAGTGAGGGGCAACAGACATTCAGAATGGCTGCAGAATACAGCTTACTACTACTACAACAGTACATGGCACCTAGTGTGCAGTGACTAAATACAACTATGAGTTTTCTTTAAAAAACGGTCTCATTAAGTAAGTAAGTGTGTGTGTGTGTGTGTGTGTGTGTGTGTGTGTGTGTGTGTGTACCTTCTGCATGTTAAGCCTGATCTCAGAGGTTCTCAGGTTCCCGTTGGCAAACCTCAGTGTGTCCAGGTTGGCCACAGACTCCTCCCCTGCACTGGGCTTCAGAGGGGACAGTTTCTCTCCTGAAGAAAAAAGCAAAAATGTCAGCAGTGAAACAAGAAGGGCAATGTGCGCTAAAGCACTGATGTCAGTTATAATCGGGCCTGTAAAATAATGTTGACAAACTGGTGGCTTTACATAAAAGCACAACAGAAGAAGAATGAATGTTTCACCAATGTGACCACCTCACTTTTACACCACATTTGAGCAACGGAAAAAATTACACAACACATGAAATCTGTCTTGATGTGTAATCTGTTTCAACTTGATAGTGAATTCAGATTAGATATATTATCGAGCCCTAACCCACTCATCATTAATTACCCAGTCTAAAATATATTTTTTAAATTACTTAAACTTAAAAACATTCATATAAAACTCATTAGCAGAGGTCTTCACCAGGTGTGTGTTCCTGTGCGATGGTGAGGGCACAGGCTCTGCCAAACACCACCAGGTCCAGCAGAGAGTTGGCGCCCAGCCTGTTAGCACCATGGACGCTGGCACAGGCTGCCTCGCCGCACGCGTACAGTCCAGGAACCACCTTGTCCTCTCCGTTGCTGTGTGTGATCACCTGATGGATAGAAGTTCAAAGGGGTGTCACCTTGTTGAGCAAATGTGCATAGATGCACAAGAGTGCACAAATTACCGACCTGTCCTTTGTAGTTTGTGGGTATTCCACCCATATTGTAATGAACAGTGGGCAGGACTGGGATGGGCTCTTTAGTGACGTCAACTCCAGCAAAGATCATGGCCGTCTCCGAGATACCAGGCAGCCGTGTGGCCAGCTGCTGAGGAGGCAGGTGGTGAAGCTGCAGGTACACATGATCCTTCTCTGGCCCAACACCCCTGAAGGAATTAAGAAACACAAACTTAATAGTTTCGGTCTTTCTGCTCAGAGGGCAAAACCAGAGGCATCAGTTTCTACCTGCACATAGTTAAATGCCACACAGACACCCACATATATTTAGACCTCACCTGCCCTCTCTGATCTCTATGGTCATGGAGCGGGACACCACGTCTCTGGAGGCCAGGTCTTTGGCATTGGGTGCATAACGCTCCATGAAACGCTCTCCCTCACTGTTTAACAGGATCCCTCCCTCACCACGGCAACCCTCTGTGATCAGGCAACCAGCTCCATAGATCCCTGTAAGGATTCACATGTTAAAAGGGAAGTCAATCCTCACATTCTGATGAATGCAAGACATAATTCCACCCTTATTTATGAATACAAATACTGGATACACTGAGAACAAACAGATAATCCTGGGTCACACACTACTTGTCTATTTACCTATAATTTACTTCTGAAATCCTTGCACATACGAGTTTATATCTGACTGGCTTTTTTTCCTTTACTTGTACTACTTACAGTGCCTTGCGAAAGTATTCGGCCCCCTTGAACTTTGCGACCTTTTGCCACATTTCAGGCTTCAAACATAAAGATATAAAACTGTAATTTTTTGTGAAGAATCAACAACAAGTGGGACACAATCATGAAGTGGAACGAAATTTATTGGATATTTCAAACTTTTTTAACAAATAAAAAACTGAAAAACTGGGCGTGCAAAATTATTTAGCCCCTTTACTTTCAGTGCAGCAAACGCTCTCCAGAAGTTCAGTGAGGATCTCTGAATGATCCAATGTTGACCTAAATGACTAATGATGATAAATAGAATCCACCTGTGTGTAATCAAGTCTCCATATAAATGCACCTGCACTGTGATAGTCTCAGAGGTCCGTTTAAAGCGCAAAGAGCATCATGAAGAACAAGGAACACACCAGGCAGGTCCAAGATACTGTTGTGGAGAAGTTTAAAGCCGGATTTGGATACAAAAAGATTTCCCAAGCTTTAAACATCCCAAGGAGCACTGTGCAAGCGATAATATTGAAATGGAAGGAGTATCAGACCACTGCAAATCTACCAAGACCTGGCCGTCCCTCTAAACCTTCAGCTCATACAAGGAGAAGACTGATCAGAGATGCAGCCAAGAGGCCCATGATCACTCTGGATGAACTGCAGAGATCTACAGCTGAGGTGGGAGACTCTGTCCATAGGACAACAATCAGTCATATACTGCACAAATCTGGCCTTTATGGAAGAGTGGCAAGAAGAAAGCCATTTCTTAAAGATATCCATAAAAAGTGTCGTTTAAAGTTTGCCACAAGCCACCTGGGAGACACACCAAACATGTGGAAGAAGGTGCTCTGGTCAGATGAAACCAAAATCGAACTTTTTGGCAACAATGCAAAACGTTATGTTTGGCGTAAAAGCAACACAGCTCATCACCCTGAACACACCATCCCCACTGTCAAACATGGTGGTGGCAGCATCATGGTTTGGGCCTGCTTTTCTTCAGCAGGGACAGGGAAGATGGTTAAAACTGATGGGAAGATGGATGGAGCCAAATACAGGACCATTCTGGAAGGAAACCTGATGGAGTCTGCAAAAGACCTGAGACTGGGACGGAGATTTGTCTTCCAACAAGACAATGATCCAAAACATAAAGCAAAATCTACAATGGAATGGTTCACAAATAAACATATCCAGGTGTTAGAATGGCCAAGTCAAAGTCTCAACATTGGATCATTCAGAGATCCTCACTGAACTTCTGGAGAGAGTTTGCTGCACTGAAAGTAAAGGGGCTGAATAATTTTTCACGCCCAATTTTTCAGTTTTTTATTTGTTAAAAAAGTTTGACATATCCAATAAATTTCGTTCCACTTCATGATTGTGTCCCACTTGTTGTTGATTCTTCACAAAAAATTACAGTTTTATATCTTTATGTTTGAAGCCTGAAATGTGGCAAAAGGTCGCAAAGTTCAAGGGGGCCGAATACTTTCGCAAGGCACTGTAAGTAGTACAGTAAAATAATGGACTTAGAGTAGAATACCTCTACTAAAATTATTATAAGTAACCTATACATGTCATTTAAGTATGTAGCTATAACAGCTGTTCTAAAGCAACTGTCTTTCAAAATAAATATTATCTCTGCTGTTTTAAAGCTTCAATAGTAGAACCATTATATGGCTCAATAAGTTAATAAGTTTCTTTTTCTCACCAGTGGGATGGAACTGTATAAACTCCAAATCCTGGCAGGGCAGCCCAGCTCTGGTCACCATTGCATTTCCATCTCCTGTAGTAGTGTGGGCAGATGTACAGCTGAAAAAGGTCCTTCCGTAACCCCTGGAAAGACAGATGAAACTCATTCATAAACTTTCACACACTTTTGGTTACACATGCACATTGTAAGAAATATTTCGGGCCAGGCGAACAGGCTGTGCGTCTGTCCGCAGCCAGCGTGAAGAAGACCCTCTCCAGGCTGTACCTTTTAGAAAAAGAACTGGATTAATGTAATTAGGATAAATCCATTCTATCCTATGTTTATTCTACTTTAGCTCCTAAATATTATGGCACCCAATTCTAGGTGAGAGAGAAACGATATTTCGATTTCTGTATGTCCTGCACATATGGTGAATTGACAATAAAATCCTTTAACCTTATCTATGTTTCATATAAACTCGCAAACTACAGCTATCAATGACAACAAAGGGTTGTTTCTTTTGTGTTTTGACAAACAGCGAATGCAATGCCTACCCAGTAGCAATGACAGTATTCTGGGCTCGGAAGCGGTGAATAGATCCATCCTCCATGCAGAGAGCAATCACTCCTTTACACTCTCCATTTTCCATCAGTAGATCCAGGGCAAAGTACTCCACAAAGTAAGTGGTGTCATAACGAAGCGACTAGACAGGACACACAAGGGCAGATGGATACATAAAATTAAGTTACAGTAAATGGTGCTCCACAGAAAAGCAGCTTTGCATTGTATAAGGAATAGGTTGGAGACAAAAGGGAGAACAAGCGTGTGGACTTACCCGTCCATAAAGTGTGTGCAGTAGAGAGTGTCCTGTCCTGTCTGCTACACAGCAGCAACGGTGAGCCTGGCCTCCTTTTCCGTACTTGAGACTCTGACCTCCAAAGGCTCTCTGGTAGATCTTCCCATCTTCAGTGCGGCTGAATGGCATGCCAAAATTCTCCAGCTAGGAAAAATGAGAGAGGAACAGGAGTTCTTAATCTGTTATTTTTAAGGCATCAATTAATCCTTGGTGAAATCTTACCTCCACTACAGCAGCAGGAGCCTGCTCTGTCATATAGTGGATAGCATCCTGGTCCCCCAGCCAGTCAGATCCCTTCACTGTGTCATAGAAATGCCACCGCCAGTCATCACTCTCCATGTTTCCCAGAGCTGCATTAATTCCACCCTATGAGCCAGGTTAATGTTCATAATTTTAACAAAATGAAAAGGAAACATTACTGCTGATTGTCTTTACTTAAAGCCTTAGATTTACATAACAAATCAGTACCACAATCCCAATCTGCTCAAAGTAACTGGATTTGAGCCTGAAGAAATTATACTGAAAAGCAAACTAAAATAAATTCTCTGTGTAGTTATACCTGTGCAGCAACAGTGTGAGACCTGGTGGGGAAGAGCTTGGTGACGCAGGCAGTGTTAAAGCCAGCCTCTGACAGGCCAAAAGCTGCTCTAAGTCCTGCTCCTCCAGCTCCTACCACGACTGCATCAAACTCATGATCCACAACTGAGTACTGAGTAGAGATCTGAAAAGAATGAAGGAGGAACAATAACTACTAGCTTGCATACACTGGAAATTGCATCTTTAATGTGTTGCGAGTCTGCATAAAGGCCAGTTCAAAGCGATCAGTCTACATTTCTGAACACAGTAATTGTGATAAACACCAGGTGTAATGAACAAAATGACATTTCTACATACAGTCATGGCCAGAAATATTAGCACCCCTGCTTTTCTGTCAGGTAACGCACCACTTCTCACAGAAAACTGTTGCAATCACATATCCCTTTGGTATTCTCAAGTTTATTTCTTTTGTTTGCATTGGAATGACACAAAAAGCAGAAAAAAGCCAAATCTGATCCATTCCACACCAAACTCCAAAAATGGACTGGACAGAATTATTGACACCCTCAACTTAATATTTGATAGCACACCCTTTGGACAAAATAACTGAAATCAATCACTTCCTGTAACCATCAGTGAGTTTCTTCCACCTCTCTGCTGGAATTTTGAACCACTCTTCTCCAGGCCTCTCAGATTTGCAGGGTTCCTTCCAGCTGCTGTTTTGAGATCTCTCCCCAGGTGCTCTATGGGATTTAGATCTGGACTCATTGCTGGCCACTTCAGAACTCTCCAGCACATTGTCTGAAACCATTTCTTGTGCTGTTTGCATTCTGCTCTGGGTCATTGTCCTGCTGTAAGACCCGTGACCTCTGACAGAGACCAAATTTTCTGACACTGGGCCCTACATTGCGACCCAGAATTCACTGGTAGTCTTCAGATTTCATAATGCCATACACACAGTCAATTGATCGAGGTTCTTTTTCCACCATTCGAACAATCCTTCGTTGCGGTCTGTCATCTATTTGTCTCTTTCGTCCACGTCCAGGGACATTAGTTACAGCACCATGGGCTGTAAACTTCTTGACAATATTGTACACAGTGGACACAGGAACAGCCAGATCTCTTGAGATGGACTTGAAGGCTTGAGACTATCCAGGCTTTTCCACTATTGTGGTTCTCACAAAAGTTTTCTGGGAGATGTGGTGTGTTATCTGATAGAAATGTAGGGGTGCCAATGTTTTTGGCCATGACTGTATGTGTACACCATATCCTAACATGCATTCATACTACTAACCACAGTAAATGCCGACCTACATAAAAGAGTAAATGTAACTCACATCATCTGACACTTGGGCATTTTTCTTCTTGCCGTAGATGGAGAAGTGAAAATTCCTGGAACTCTGAAATGCAGCAGCAGGGACCTGGCAGAAAAGAGAACCGTTTGTTTCTCTGGAGAAATCACACAAAGCAACACCGTGGCTCAAATGGGCAATACTATCCATGCTAATGATGACTGCTTACCTACAGAAAACATTGTTGTGGCGCACTTGGTGCTTAAAGGTCGTTTTGATGACCTGTGGCATCATTATAAAATTGCTTTAACCTCAATTTGCCTCTATGCTTATGGATCACAAAGATAAAATTATTTTTAAAAAATACAAAATTAATTGAATTAACACCGAATGCTCAAATATCTATTATGTTTATGTTTACAACTTAGTGAAAATTTTATTCACCATCTGTAATATGCAATAGCTAAATATAGCCCAATATTTTGATGGACTATTAAAACAGCTTTTATTATGGTGTCACACTGAAACCCTAAGCTAGCTGTTACCTGTGACGCAAGTCAGAGCTGCAACGTTAGTGTAAAGAGACATTCAGCACACACAAACAGAACACATATAAATAAATGCAAGTTTATTCAGTGGTTATCACTTACTGCTTTTGTTTTAGATAACGTTAGGACGCTCTTGGAAAGGAGTCGCGACGCAGTACAGACACTCGCCATATTGCCTAGTACAGAGCCGACAATTGAAGCACAGTGGAGGATCGCATTTTCTGTTGCACTGGACGAAACCACGCTCCAAAAACAGGGGTGTTAGGTACGTTACTTCCAATGGTTACCAAGTTAAAACATTTACTGACGTGATTTTAATAGCAAAACGTATATCGGTTATTACAGTGATTCAAAATAAGTACACATCGTTTTCAATATCTACAAATAATAGGACTTTTTTAAGTAAACACCTGTGAATTTCCCTCCGTCGAATGATTGGACTGCTAAAGCGTAAAATTTGTGGAACCTGGGTGCGCAGGAACAAATGTTAAGTGACCTATACTCTTCTTTGAAGGTGAGACATAGCACCATACCTTTATTAGACAACATAAGTTTTTTGTTAGATTCACATAGCTATAATGTCTTGTTATGTTTGTGTGAATACTCCAGCGAGCATAAGCCAGTAAACTAAATGTTAGCGAATACGTTAGCTAATAGCTGTACTTGTTTGTGGCTAGCTGGGCTGTCAAACCTCCAAGTCATTCATACTTTGTTTTTTGACAGTACCAAATAACTGTCTGTCCAGTCTATTGAAGCGAGAGACTTAGCAATTAACTTTATAATCATGTTATGGTTATAACGAAGCCCCTTCATAGATGCTGGCGCCCTGTAATAAAGACTTGGTGGTTACTACAGAGTATCAGTGTTAGCAGTGTGCATAATAAGACACTGCAACTGAAAAAGCATCCATTTAATATTTATCATAATATATATTTAAAGGAGGCAATTATTCCTGATATTTTGTTCTCCCTTGTGCGTGTGATACTAGCCTCCATGAACAACTTGAATGACCCTCCCAGATGGAACATCCAACCAGACCCCAGAGGAAGCGGGGTGGGGGCCGGTGATGGCAACCAGTGGAACTACGCCCTACTGGTCCCTATGCTGGGACTGGCTGCGTTTCGTAAGTTACACTAGATATGTCTAAAAGTGGGTTTGCTAACAGGGTAACATGCAGAGGAGAAAAACGTTTGTGCCATTGAATATAAAGTACAAAAAAAAATGACAGAGGTTGTAAGAGATCACACTTTGCCATGTTAACTCTAACAACTTTCTCAAAATTAAAATACAAGGTAATTCAAGACTGGACTTTGGCAAATTTAGAATTTAGTTTTCAGGTCATGGCAGTATATTTTAAATATCTGCACACTCCTTTGTCTAATGCCCTCCAACCCCACCCTACAATACCTTCAGGTTGGATTTGGACCAGGGACTCTCAGAGGGAGATCCAGAAGGTCAAATCCCAGTTTGACATGGATGTGTCCACGGTCAAAAGCGAGATGGAGGCACGGTATCGAGAGACACTGACAGAAAGGAGTAGGGCAGTGGCTACATTAGAGCTGGAGCTGGAGAAGGAGAGACAGAGGGTCAAAGGCTACAAGCAGGCCATCATTTCACAGAGCCAGCAACTGATAGAAGAACGGAAACAGCTACAACAGGTAAAGTCCATCCTCACACTCTGACTGTCACTTTCCACTACTGGTTTGTGCATCCCTTCTAACTTGTCGCCTCTTCTTCACAACCCAAAACTCTCGTTTCTTCCTTACAAGGAGCAAGCGGCCTTGGAGGCAGAGAAACAAAGGCTGGTGAAGTCTGGCACTGCAGGTGCTGCGCTGCATCATGCCCTGGAGCTAGAGAATGACTGGTACCAGCGGGCCACTGCTGCTCTAAAGGAATTAGAAGGTCTGCTCGTGGAGCGCCAGAATGCTTACTGCTCCCTCATCCAACCTCGAGATCAGCGGCTGGAAATGGAGAAGAACATGCTGATAAGGGTCGTCAAAGATCCCATCACAGCAGAACTGGATGTGGAGTCTGGCCTGAAGGATATTTTTAAGAGAGATAAACACTGTGCAGATCTGCTGAACATGGACAAGAGGAAGAATGGAAGTCTCATGTGGGTGTACCTCAAGTACTGGCAGCTGCAGGTCCAGTTGAGAGAAGAAAAAGAGAGAGAAAAAAGCCATATTAGGAGGGAAAATCCAGTTTCAGACAAAGTGACAGCAAAGAAAGATACACTATTGTTTCTCATTTGACTTTGAGGAATGTTGGAAATATGTGGAGTGGGAATGGAAAATACATGTTTTTCACTCTGTAAATTATCAATACATGTTATGGAAACAAACAAAAAGTAATTCCAACACAATAATGTTCAATATCTGAAGTTTCCGTCTTTGATCTCACTTTATCAAACATTTTCTCAGGTTATAGCATGCTAAGATACATCATCATAATTTAATAAGCCTTAAATAAGACTCACCAAATTAAAATTACAATAGGAAAACATGATGATATATATATATATATATATATATATGCATTAGAATCACTCTGGTAATATTCATGTTGGATACATAACTATAGATTCTTATTCCTTAATCTCTTGGAACATATTGCCATATAGTTTGTGTGAGGATGTCTGGAAATGGGCTGTTTTGATTTTCTCTGTCTTGGGTATTAAATGATGGCTCCCATAAACTGTTCACCTTTTGTCCCATGTGATAATACACATTTCTGGTTATACAGCTTTTCTCATAAAATTACTAAAGTACACACTGTCAACACCTATTACAGTTTTCATGGCAAGATCATTGGAGTCTTACTTGGTACTGATATGATGGGACGTTACTTTTTGTCTTCCATCTATGACATCTCTATTTACAGTCCTGTGTTGCAATTAATGATACAAGGCCTATAAATCTATGGTATAACGCGACTTCACCGTCACTGGTTTGAAATTTCTAGTTTAATCTAGGTTTGTGGGAGCCTCATACTGTAACTGTCAGGGAGACAGGACTCTTCTGAAGGTGCATGTGAATCTAAGTAAACCGAGTACAAAGTAGTATTCAGTGCTGCAAACTGCAAAAAAAAAAAAAAAAACAAACATAAAAACTTTCATTTCACACTTCAACCCTGTAATGAAAGGTTTAACTTTATCTGTGTCATTCAGCTGTGATGTTTTTTTTACTATACCTTGGTGAGTAAGTGCAGGATGTGAATTCAAATGTAATGACACTTACCACTCAATCTTTCATATACATTTTTGGTTTAAAAGCTTTGTTTTTCCATTGTTTATGTTTTCTCCTTAAAGACTCAAAAGTACTGCAATATTTACAAAGGTATAATATCAACTCACTGGGGGTCCCTTTACAATGCTGTTTCTAACCATTTAGTACAATAGCAACGTGGAAGCTCATACTATATAAATCTAAAAAAGAAATGGAACAGGAATAAAAAGCAACAGGGATACACAGAAACCATTAACACAACTATACTCCCGACAAGTCATTTGTTGTAATTTTATTAAGAAAAGACATGAATCATGCAGCTAATAGCATTGGAGCACAGTTGGTAAACGTTTGTTGTTTCTTACTGTATTATAAAATAGGAGTTCACCTGTAATTAAAAAGCCTGAAGAGCTGAAATACATATGCAGCTAAAAACTATTCAACTAATGCATTCACTGCTCTGTGCAATGCCTGCTCTCACTGACATTAAAAAAAGTGAACGTAGATACTCCTGGTTCCTGAATTTATTTCAAATATTTTACAGTAAATGTCTCTCAATCAAAAAAAAAAACAAACAAACTGACAAACTGCTTCAACAGTGACACAAAAATAAACCATGGTATCTTGTATGAAATGCTTCAAATTCTTGGTGGATTTTCTGTAGCCACACTTTACACATATAGTTTAGTATCTTCACAAAGATAAGTGAAAATGACTGCCTGATGTTCCAGTGTTTATCCACACTCCTGTATCAGTTCTGTTAAAATAATCAGACCCCTTTATGCGTTGCATCACCCTCTTTCATTTACTGAATAACAGCCTTGACAAAATATACTGCTTACAACTCAAATAGAGCGCCAGTGTGCATCCTACCAGACGCGTCAGTTTGAAGGTACGTAGCAAACAGCCTTAATAACTGAACCAGGAGGGCCTCTTTCTGGCCCTCTCCACTATCCTCTTGTCTTTGTCCTGCTGGCTTGGTGTCTCACCCTCATACAGCACGACTGTCTCGACAGTCGGGGCCCTCAGTGGGCCTCCTTCCATTGCTTGAATCTGATGACGAATCAGACCGGTCTCCTTGCACACCTTAGCATAACAGAAGCCACACAGGCTGTGTTTCTGCTTCAAGTGGCCGCATTCTGGACAAGGCTCAATGTTGGTCTATGAGAGGGACAGAGACAGAGTGAAGACTGTGGGTCAGACTATGTAGAGGCAACACTGGCATTTCTATATCACAGCTTCCTGTAACTTATTGACAAATATACACACCAATACAGCTTTATGTGTAACCAGCTAATTTCAACAGATAACATTAGTTAATATCAATAATAATCACACTCTTTTGCTGCTAACATGCTGCTGATCTGATTAGGTCCCATGCATACCTTTTTATTTAAACATATTTTTATACTGACTTATACAATTGTGTGTGATGTAAATAATATGTCTGTCTTTTAAGCCGAGAGCTGCCGGAAAAATTTTTGTTGTGCTATACATAATGACAATAAAGATCCTTGACTTGACGTTAACAACCACAGCATGGAAACAATTAGTTAATAATGTGTATTTGTTAATTACATATGCAATGCTAATGAATTATAAGTAGTCTGTCCTGGGACGAGGTTGAGAAAGGTAGAAATTGTTAAACACTTTGTGACTGAAGACTGGAACTGTGTGCCCCAAAAAAACCTCAACATGCTGTAGATAAGGACCTTGGTTGCTCACTGAAACTTGCTCCCTTCCTCTCCCATAGTTGATTGCACCTGTTTATTCCTGTGTATAAAGAACTTCTTAACCTTGCGAGAGAATCTTTGCTCTCTCAACCTCTTTTTGTATGTACTGAGCCCTTCTGCAGCAGAAGCTTCTAATAAAGAACTTGAAAGACAAAGTGGGTCTAAACCTTTAGTCTATTCAAGGTTGCAGGTTTGGTCGTCCCCCCACAACAGAAGTTCTTAAGTGACTTCCATACACAGGAGTTCTCAGTTAAACTGTTCACAACAAAGTGTGTGGACTATTGTGACTAATTACAGGTGTACTGATGTAATCTTTATGAACTGATCAAAGTACTAAGTACTCATTATAGGTGTGTTTTAGGGTGATCCTTTGTGAATAGATCCCTGAGAGGATCTAATCAGTGTACCTTGAGCTTTATTAGTTTGCTGTCAGCTCTCCTTCTAGTGCGGTTAACTTCTATAGTGCGTCTTTTTTTGGGTGCTGCCATCCACAAGATGCTGTCCAGAAGGTCAGGGCTCTCCTCTGGACTCTGCTGCTCCTCCTGGTCGACCTGAGGCAGGAGGCTTGGGCAATTCACTGCCAGCACTGGAGCTGCACACAAGAAATACACCGTTATTTTATCATCTCACATTTCATTTCACACTTCAACCCTGTAATGAAAGGTTTAACTTTATCTGTGTCATTCAGCTGTGATGTTTTTTTTTTTTACTATACCTTGGTGAGTAAGTGCAGGATGTGAATTATTATTTATCATCTCTCCAAACCAATCACTTTGTTACAAAAAGAAAAAAGGAAGCAGGTACAGAAAGATGACTGGGGGAAGATGACATTCAAAGCCAGATGGTAAAGTCAAAGGCAGTGAACTTAAAAGCAGTGGTGGGAAGTAACTAAATACATTTACTCAAGTACTATAATTAAGCTCAATTTTGAGGTATCTGTACTTTGAGTATTTTTATTTTCTGCTAATTCATATTTTGACTTCACTACATTTTAGATGCACTTTTTACTTCACTATGTTTACTTTATAACTTTAGTTACTAGTTACTTTTCAGAAGAAGATTAATACAAAAATTACAGTATAATCATAAAATTTTATTGCTCTCTGGCGGAAAATTCATAAGCTACTCAGTTGTATGTAAAATATAAACATATAATTAAAGGCATATAGGCTTGTTAAAATAATACAACAGTAATAGTATAATAATAATAATAGTAAGGCATAGACCTTACTTTGTAACGTGTCCTGAGATAACTTTTGTTGTGATTTGGTGCTATACAAATAAAACTGAATTGAGTTGATAATTAATTAAAACTAGCTCCACCCTTACCAGCTGTAACATTAAATGTGTGGTTCACTGTAATGTTTGGGCAATGATAACTCAGTAATATTGTTTGATATACAATAATGTTAAATTTGCCATAATGAATATTTTTACTTTTAGTGCTTTAAGTATGTTTTGATTATAATACAGTGTATTTTTACTTAAGTAATATTCCGAGGGGGACTCCATGCTAGGCTAAAAGCTCGCGCTACCCGACCGCCATTACCCAGCCTCTTCCTAGCT